AGACTGTCCCTGTGTGCCAAAAGACGAGTCAATGAGGCAAATGTCCATCCTGGATGGGCAAGTAGGATTTGGAGGAACTTAGGAATAAAAAGAGGATGCATCATCTTTGGTAGAAGGATCTCTCAGGAAGTTTTTAAGGGGGTTGCCAGGGCATGTAGGAAAAAATTAGGGGAGCCAAAGCTCAGTTCAAACTTAATTTGGCAACTTTTATTAAGAATAATAAAAAATGTTTTTACAAATACATTAACAGCAAGAGGAAAGGTAAGACCAACCTCTGTTCTCTACTGGATGCAGGAGGGAACTTGGTAACTGCAGATGAGAAGAAGGCAGAGGTGCTTAAGGCTTTCTTTGTCTTAGTTTTTAGTGAGAAGACTTGCCTTCAGGACAACTGTCCTCCTGGGTTGCTCGATGATATCAGGGAGCCGAATGGTCCTGCCATTATTCAAGAGGAGGCAGTCAGAGAACTGCTGAGCCTCTTCAATATTCATAAATCTATGGGCCCAGATGGGATCCATCCCAGGGTGATGAAGGAGCTGGCAGATGAGCTTGCAAAGCTGCTCTCTGTCGTGGCAGGTTCCAGCCGGGCTATGCCCTGTGGGCTGCCGTGGCCAGGATAGCTCAGGTAGGCTCAGCACAGCGTCCAAACTCCCAAGCAGTTCCAAGCTGCAGGCAACCTAAGCAAGCTTAAGTGATTTCTGGCTCTTAGTGATTATGAGCTTTCTCTACAACTTCCTGAAAGGTGGCTGCAGTCAGGTGGGGGTTGGTCTCTCTCTCCAAGCAACAACTGACAGAACGAGAGGACACAGTCTTAAACTGCGCCAAGGGTTGACAATAGGCTGGATATTAGGAACAAGCTTTTACAGAAAGAGTGATAAAGTTCTGGAATGGCTTCCTCATGGAGGTGGTGGAGTCACCATCCCTGGATGTGTTTGAAAAAAGTTTGGATGTGGCACTTGGTGTCATGGTTTAGTTGAGATGTTAGGGCTGGGTGGGACTCGATGATCAGGAAGGTCTCTTCCCACCTAGTGATTCGGTGATTCTGTGTGATTCTGTGATGCCAGCTGTGAGCCTTTTGATGGCTGTGTGCCTTTTGTAGGCATCAGAACCACTGCCTTTTCCTGGCAGAGTTAGGAGAAGAATTTGGACAGAATTGAAGTTGTCAAGCAGGTCACCAGCTAGAGGAATTTGTGTGGCACCTGGTGGGACTGGGTGGCTTTGGGGCCAGCCCTCATGGCCCCTGTCTATGGGTCAACTCTGCTTACAGCTCTGGCAGACCACAGAATCACAGAATTGTTTAGGTAGGAAAAGACCTTTCAGATTATTCAGTCCAACCACTAACACAGCACTGCCAAGTCCTCCACTAAACAACATCCCAGGAGCCACATCTCCATACCTTTTAAATATCTCCAGGAATGATGATCCCACCACTTCCCTGGGCAGTGGCTTGACAGTTCTTTCAGTGAATAAATTTCTCCTGATATCCAATCTAAGATTATGAACTCTAGGGAGGGTTGTAGGAAGCAAGGAATGTTTGCTGCTGAGAACATGACTGTGGCTCTGACAAGAGACTTGGCCCTGAAATCACTGAGGGTAAAAGAGAGAGTCTTGAATTTGCACATCCTGCGACATCAGTCTGACATTGCAGATATAGACTGATAAGGCTCTGTAAAAATAAGCCCTCAAATTTATCAAGTATCATCATAACATGCTGATGCCATCTTTATCCAGTAAATAGCACCTGCTGTATCAAAACTGTCTGGCTCTCAAGCTGTGCAGAAGAGCTGACAGATGTTTTGTCCCAGGCTGTACAGGGGAATTCCAAAGTGCCTCATGGAAAGGCAGCAGCCTGACATATTGCTTTCCTCTCCTTTCACCTCCCATTACACCTCTGCCTTCCACCTCCCAGATGCATCTCTTGACCCCACAGTGACTTTCCTACTGAGGAGTCTGTGCTTAGCCTCACCATATCCTCAGTTTCATACTGAGCCCCTAAACTGTGCACTATCCCCCCGTTTATTTGCAGACAAAACTTCTCAGTCACATCAAAACAGTGGGTGTTGGCAGGTGACTTCTAGACTCACCAAAAGCTCTCAGGCCTGAAAAGAGAAAATTCATGAATTGTGAAGTTTAATCAGTTTAAGGCAAGCTCTGTCATGATGTTTTCAAGTTCACTAGAACTTTAAAGGGTAAGTTGTATAACTCCTTTCTGAAACCAGCTGTGTTGAGATACAGCATTCCAAAGGTTTGCCACAACAGCTGGCCAGCAGAACTGATGTGTGTCTTTCTAGAGAAATCCTACAAATAATCCCTAACACCTTTGGATGAACTCAGTCTGAAGTTTACACTCTCTAAAGCTAATAATATGTGATTGTACTTCTTTTAGCAAAAAAGTAATTTTTCTCATTCTGTTTTGTTTACGTTGGATGTGGAACATCAGCTGCTGTATCAGTCTTTTGTTCTTTTTGCTTATTTTGAAAGGGAAAAAATAGTTCAAAACAAAGTTTCTTGATAGTTTGCCCAGATTTAGTGCAGAAAAATCCTCCAGTGTTTAAAAAGCTAGGTAACCCAGGTGTAAATTTACAGATTGAGAATTACTTTTGAAGTTTTACTACAAATGTTGTCAACACAATTCTTCATTTCACTGCTACTGTAGCTGTATTCTCCTAAGGGAAAGTTACTCAGAGGTTTCCTTTATCTTTCTAATCCATTGTTTTGCTTTGATGTGCAGTACAGGGTAAATGGTTCCTTTTGAACTGCTTTGTACCTGTGGTGAATAATAATGATAATGAATAAAGTCTTTCCAATGAACCATGTTCAGTGAGATAAGATGTGGTGAGGAAAAGCCACTCCCTTCTCCTCCCCTCTTCCTTTCAGTCAAAGAAGGGAAAAGACCAATGTGACCAAAAAGACAGCAGTGCCTTCCAGGCCAGCATGTTTAAAAAACCTCAGAAATTAAGGTTTTTAATCAAAGCAAAAGAAGTATTTTAAAGGTTAAAGCAAAGTTCAGAGGACTGTCTACAGCTATTAGCACTGCCCCTTACTGAGGCAAACAGTGGTGCAGTGAGTACTGGCAGGGATGTGCAGGCAGGTCAGAGTCTTTGAACTAAAGGTGTCCCAAAATGACTCTTGGCTGAGATAGCAAGGGCTGGGTCCCACCTATGAGGCTGAGCTCCCCAGACCTCACCACTGAGAGCCCCACTGTGCTGTGGGCTGCTGCAGAGCGAGCAGTGCTTTTCCCACTTGCAAATAAAACACACAGGCATCAACCCAGCAGAACTTTAAGGGTAGTGGGGGAGGCAGAGAAGGCAGAAAAAGGCTCTCCCAGCTCTTGGACCCTCAGCTGCAGGAGGCTTTCCCACACAGCAGAAATCCCAAGTGGGAGTGCTTTAGGTTTTGTTCATAAACACGTCCCTCGTGCCCCCTTTGGCTGCCCCATGACTGGCAGTGCTGCTTCCCTGAGCATCACCACACGCTCTCCTTCCCAACTTCCACATGCAGACACCAGACCCTGCAACACCTGCAGGGACACATCCAGCAATGGGCTTGCTTGGGCAACCAGCATCACATTTCTCTGTGCTCGTGCTTCCCCAGTGCTTCCCTAGAAACTAGGTAACCAGGGTATTATCCACGGAAAGATTTTAGAGCTCACCTCTCCCACTCAGCAGCCCTTGCAGTGGGAGAGTTCAGCTCTGGAAGAAGAGGGGACAGGCAGGGGCTGCAGAACTGCATCCTGTTTAAATCAGGCCAGACTCATGCTATGCATGAACAGTTGTATTTTCTTTTATTTTCCTTTGTAGCTATAGAGGCCACTTTTCCTCCTGCAGTTGGGATAGTCTTAGGAGAACTCCAGGACCTGTGCATGTGGAAAAGTTTCTCTTCTTAAAAAAAAAAAAAAAAAAAGGAAAAAAGTAAAATTTCAGTGGAGTTTAGCCTCCAGAAATAGGAGAGGGCTGACATTATGTGACTAGACAGCCTTATATGAACCCTGCAAGTACTCCACGGCCCAGAAGCTGCAGTTTAAAACTTCTTATGCAGAGCTGGCCATAGGAAATACTCATGAAAAAGAAAAATATACTAGAGCTTCCGTGTGCCATTCATAGCCATATAGTTCCAGTGCAGTGTGGCAATTGAACTTTTAAGTCAACAACAATAATAACAGAAAGTACAGACTGCCAGTCCTTCTAAAGTGGTTATTCGTGATTGCTGCCTGTGCAGAGACTCAGTATGCCTTTGGGGCATGAGGCACAATAACTCAATTTCTATATCTTAAAGAAAAATTGCAATTTAATGTTAGAACCATCATTTTAATGAAAAAGCCACTGGCTCAAAGGCAACTATCCCATATTTTGGGATGATGACCAGAATTACTAGGATTATGAATGGCATTTCTGTTAAATGACTACATAATCCTGACCAAGTAATAACCTTGACACACAGTGCACTTGATATACTTGATAATATATATCTAGTGGTGGATGCATAATTCACCCATAAATAATGAGAATTACTTCATGTTTGTAAATTATAACAAGACATCTGGATTGAAATAAAAAAAATACAATTTACTAGTGAATATTTACCCATTTGATGGGTATGCAATTCATTTTTCCTTCAGTCAGGTATTGTCTTGGTTTCCTTTTGTGAAGGAAAAAAAATATAACACTCTCTCTGAAGGTGAAAGCACCAAATAGTGAGTATTCAGATTCTCTCTTTCTCTAGCTCAACTTCTACAGCAAGATGTAGTGTGCCATGTCTTTTCCTGCTCCTGCCCTGCTGACTGCCAGCTCTGCATTTCAGGTCAGCTGCTCTGCTGCTTCTGCAAAGCTATGAAACTGGGGAGACTGGCTGGGGGGTTAAGTACCCAAATTTGTTTTTAAATTAACTGTGAGTACTCAATTCAATGACACCCATTTGATCTATGCAAGGAGATACTTTAAAATTATAACCCACAGAATTTTCCCACTATTCCCATAATCGGTCTCTGTTTGTTTCTTCCTCAGGTATTGCCTAGCAGAAAACCATGGGAAATTTCAAAGGGCATGCCCTCCCTGGAAGCTTTTTCCTTCTTTTTGGCTTGTGGTGGTCAGTGAAGTATCCACTGAAGTATGCCTGTCGAAAAAACAAGAACGCTTGCTACCTTGGCTCCAGGGCAGGATTCCAGCGCCTGGAGTTTGTTGAGGGCATCATCAAAGCTGTCTTTGCCCTCATTGGTAAGTGAGGTGGACTAAGGGCAGGCTGTACCTTCTAACACTTTTTGCTTTAAATTTTGTTATCTGATAAAATGAATCTCCTTTTGTTCTGCTCTTTTGCCCTTTAACCGCTGAGAAGTGGTGGGGCTACTGCTAATTACACAGCTGTGGCCATAGCATGGTTTCCATCCATAGTGCTCTTCTGGAGCTTCTCTGAGGTCTCCTGACCACTCCTGACCACTTGACTGCTCCTGACCACATCTCAGCGTTCATGTTCTGTTCACTGTGCAGGGAGGGAGACAAGATATTTAGGCAAGGGGCTCCCATGTGCATACTGAGAGCACCAGACTGTGAAGGTGTTGCTTTTCTGTTTTGAATTCAACCATCTCACATGTTGGTAGCCTCCACTGATTTATTGATAAAACATGTAAATATGCAGGTGATTTTTTGATTAATCTCAGTCAAAAGTGAAAATTTTCATGCAAAAAGACTGAACTCCAGATCTTATTGCTGCAGGACTGTTGTGATGGGGTGTGGGGGAGCAGTTTGTCCTTCCATTGTGTCCAGGCCTGGTACAAACCCACTGGGATGGTTTTGGGAGCTGTGTAGCTGGCTGAAAGTGTTTAGTTCTTGTTTACATCCTGGCAGGCTGTGTGGTAGTGATTTGGCTTTAGAAGGTAAATAAACTAAACAGCAGGGGGTCTGAGGAGCTCAGCATCTGTAGCTCAAGTTGAAAAATAGCTAAATTTTAAGCATTTTTGCACTTCTAGATTATATTTGTCTACTCTTCTTTAGATGCCCAGAGTTGCCTCATTTCTAATCAAGGTGCAGGCAGTGACAGAGTCTTGTTCTTGCTTTTCCTTCCTTTCTGTTAAGATATATCAGCACTGAAGGGATGTTGTGTCTACAGCTTTATCATTAAAAAATTATAAAAATCTAAATAATAGCATTCATTTTGAGGCTTGATTGTGGACACCTTTCCTACAAATCTCCCAGTCTGTGTCTAGAGGTAGTTTGGCAGCTAAAACATTAATGTACTCTTTCTATTTTCACTTTGAAACCACAGGTTCTTATTTTAACATATGGAAATTCCAATTCAAATCAAAAGTATGGAAAAACTGCTTGGCTAAGACAGTAAAGGCATCAGGAGTAAAACCTGCTGTGTCCATGTTAGGAAAGCTGGAAATAAGGGTGGAACAACACTGCATTTACTCTACAGCATATCTACTTTTACAGCAGATGCTGGCCTATGCTTTATAAACAGTGTAATCAGCTTTTATGTTTTTAAAGCAGAAGAAGTTTTAAACCCTCCCCAAACTTCACTGATCATATAAAGCATTTAAAAGCAGTTTTCCCTTGCTGGAGTACCTCAGCTAGTTGGCAAAACACTGAGGGGCCAAGGTAAGGGAGAGAGTGGAGCAGTGATTCAAATACTAACTCCGTGTACATTCCCATGGGACTTTTAACGACTCTGCACGGTGGAGGGGTTTCCTTTTATGGCTTTAGAGGAAAAATCCCCTTTGAATTATGAGTCTGTCATCACGCATGTGGCAGGGCACTGAAATGGTAAATCTTTCTTTTGGAGACTTTAGTGTGTGTTATGCTCATGTTTGAACCACTGGAAAAGGCAGCTGAAAAATCTGGTCAGAGGACTGCTACAATAGCAATTGTTTAAAAGAAGAAAAAGCAGCACAGAATAAGATTTTTTCATTTTCATTGCCGGAAACTGCAAGATGCAAATAGTTCCACCAGGAGTGGAGCTGAAGCCTGATTTCCTCTGGCTCTCCACTCTCCAGATTATGTGATGCTAAAACCTCAACCTTGCTGGCATGATGCTGCAAGGGGATGTATTGCTGCCTCTATTGTTTGTGTAAAGACTTGCCATCAGTTTACACCATAAGTACCAGAACAAATGGTTTTTCTTCCTGTTTCGTGCACAGGGATGGTGGCTGAGCAGTTTGTTCCTGATGGACCTCATCTGAAGCTGTACAACTACGAGAAGAAGCACTGGGATCACCTGATGAACTGGCAGCATGCCACCATGTATCTCTTCTATGGCATTTCAGGGCTGGTGGACATCGTGGCTCACGGGACCAACGCGCTGCCAGCGGCCATGGACAGGATGATGCTCTCCTTAGCAGTCTTCATTGAAGGTCAGTTTCCTTCTCCCTGCAGGGATATGCATGAATCCTGTGGATGGGCATTGATCATTGGCCTGGGAATCTCCAATCAGCCTTGCAGAGTGACCTCTGGGAGCTGCCTGTTTCACTCCCTGAAAGACTTCAAAGAGATCACAAAAAGATCAGTCTTGGCCCTCCTTACACTGCCCAGTCATGATCCTGCATTGCAAAGGTGTATCTTAGCTTTCCTACCTGCTCAGACAGCAACAGAAATGTTATGGAAATAGCAGCAAAAGCCTGTTTTAGGTAAGGGCTCAGTAGCTCAGGCATGTGTTTGATGTAGGTACTGACATGGCACACAACTGGTTAGCTAAAGCCAGTGTGAGTGAAGGTGACACTGGCATAAAGAGAAATGCCATAAATGTTTCACTGTTTTCTAAAGGCAGATGCAGGGAAATTGCAAGGGAAGAAATTATCTTAAACTGATCACAATTTATTCCAGGTTTTCTCTTCTGCTACCATCTTCATGGGAGGGCCATGCTGGATGTTCATGTTCATCAGTTACTGCTATTTGCTATCTTTGGAGCTGCTGCCTGCATATTTTTGGAAGTTTTTTTCCGGGGCAGTATTGTGCTAGAGATGCTCCGTACAAGCCTCTGCATATTACAGGGCAGCTGGTTCTGGCAGGTAGGTCACTTTTCTGCCTTTGTAATTTCTTCCTCACCAAAATTAGCCATTTAACCCTTTGAAAATGTGTCACAGGTTATATATATGCCTTTTAAACACAGACCTCAAAAGACTTACAGAAAATAAGTTCCTTTAAAGAGATACAGAAAAAAAAATGTTCCTTTTAAGTGATAAAAATATTTCTTATAGCGATTTTACAGAAGAAGAAGCAGCCATTTCACTTCAAGTGCCTTTTATTTGAATCAATAAAGAAGCTAAAGTGTTTTTCTTGAGTTCTCCATGTTACAGAGCTCTCTGATCCTTGTAACATTCTGTTCCAAATTTGCCAGCCAAGTGGCAGTGATTTTAGAGCATGGAAATATATGTTGTTCTTTACAAAGAGAGTTTCTACTGTCAGCTGCTGGAGCAGTGAGTAGACACCCAGTGTAGCACTGGACAGGTGAGGCAAAGGCCTCATTGACATTGCCAGGTTCAAAAGGTACTTAAGGTACAGATTCTCATTAGGAGACTGGATGATGTAAAGCCTCCTGCTTTTCTAGTGCTCTGGGAGCTGAGCAGAAAAAAAAACAGCCAGAACTTTGATATTTCAGGGATGTGGCTCCTGAAAGGACTCTTCAAAATGTAGCTTCCATGCCCTCATTTACTTGTGAGACTATCCAATAAGAGATATTTGACAGTGACTCTTTCTCTACGGTCAGAACAAGAGAGATTTAAGGAGCTGCTAGGAGTTTGTAACAGAAATAGGAGCACTGGTGCTGATGTGTGTTTCATCTTATAGTGGGGAATTGAGGTCACTCCAATGATTTTTCCTTCCGGCATGTCTAGACTGGCTTCCCTTTTTTCTGTGCTGGCCAGACAAGATGAATAAAAATGTTTGCTGTTTCTTAGGAGAACTGGACACTCAGCACCAAATCAAATATTTAAATGCTTTCTCTGGCTTGAAGACAGACCTCAAACTGGCTGTATTTTTCTATAAGTGAACTCAAGAATGTGATGCTGCAGCACTTGCTGTTTTATTTTCTTGTTTAATTTTCTTGTTTGCAAACTTCCAGCGGGTGATTTAAGAAGCTTTACATAGGAGGAATAGATACAACCATTTATTCATTGTTTTCTGCCTAGTCTAATTTTAGAACAGATTATTTCTTTAGCTCTAGAGACAATGTGGGTTTTGTTTCAAAGTAAAAATTGAAGTACTAAAAATAGAAGAAATTTAAGTGTGGCTTTTTTCACACCCGCATCAGACTTAACCATCTGTGTGATTGAAAACCACACACTGGCTGCAGCACAGGAAATTTGTAAATGGTAAAGGGACTTTCTTTCTGCATCATCAACACCCTCATTCATTGAATTCTCTGCATGAAATGCAAAATTCACTCCCCTCCTTCTTCCTCTCCTCTTCCCAGTTTCTAAATTCCCAGCTAAACTGCTGAGTGAGGACTTTGAATAGTATTAAGCAGTACACAGGGTTGGGGTTTGTCATGCAAACACTGCATAGCCACAGGATTAACTGGTTTCCCATTTTATGCACAAATATGAATCTGATCTTTCCCAGCTCTGAACAAACAAATCAGCTATGTATTTCACATGAACTTACGGTCTTGCATGAGGAAGCTCCATTTTATGGCATTTCTGACCTTCTCCTTGCGATGGCCCAGAAGAAACAGAATTGTGGCTCCCCTTTATTTGTTCATTGATTATTCATCTTCCCAGCCATGTAATGCATTCCCAGACCCTGCTGGGAAGAAGGGAGGCAGTGCAAATGGCCAGGCAGGTTTTCTGATCCATGAAGTGATTTCAGTTCAGAGCACACAGGGCTGAGCACCAGCTCCTCTCCTTACAGTGCGTAACTGTGATTGTTGCAGGGCTGGGCTTTTGGGCAGGCTCCTTAATTTTCTGGGCAAGAGCAGGGGGTCTCTGGTATTGTCACTTTATCTTCAAAGGCATTTCTGCACAAAGCTGTTTAAAGTGTTCCATCACACCTGAGATTGACTACAAAATTGTTTTTAATAGTAAACATAGAAATAAGCAACACCATAAGAAAATTAAATGTCTGCCTTGTGATGGGTAGCATAAAACACGACATGGCACAGGATGCTCATCAAATGACATGTACTAAATCTCTTTTATTTTATTACAGATTGGCTTTGTGCTTTATCCTCCAAATGGAAGCCCAGAGTGGAATCAGACAGATCACACTAACATGATGTTCCTGACCATGTGCTATTGCTGGCATTATGCTTTTGCTTTTCTTATACTTGCAGTGAATTACACAATTGTCAGCTGGTAAGTTACTTGAAACACTGAAACTTTGGTGACTTGTCTATTTAGTCTAGTAGGGGGTTTATTTTAGACAAGTGTCACTGGCAAATGAAAAGGTTTCTATGAAGTAAGTAATTGTCTTGCAAGGTAAAATAAAAATGGTTATTAGTAATCAGTGAAAAGCACATGACATTGCTTCAGTAAAATGGGGACAAAAATGCACCCATAAATACAGCTCTGATAGCACAGCATAATACTTCTCACATAAAATCAGCACCAATAGTCTTCCACATTTGTAAGTGCATATAAAGTCAGAAGTAGGAGACTTTCTTACCTGCAGACTCCAACTGCTCATCTCTGCTAATTTTAAGTGGCTTAGAGAGCCAGCTTCATGACTTTACTGTGAAGATCACTACACAGAATTCCTTGCTAGAAATTTCCTGTGATCAAACTTGATTTCTTTTCTCACTAGTCGTTTTCACTCCCTAATGTCTAATGTTTCTCACTAGTCTTTTACTCCCTAATTAGCACTGCCCAGTGCTAATTCTGACAAAATTCCAACTGCAGTGTTAATTTGGCTGTAAAAATGCCTCTGCCATCAGATCATAGAATGTGATCACCTTCTATCCACAGGACCTTACCAAGCCTTTTCCTGCAGTGTCCTAAACATGCTTCCCACCCCTTGCTTTACCCCTGCCATCCTAATAGCCCTATTTAATCATGTCAAATACATAGTTCTTCCAATCTTGATTTGCACTGAGGTGCCAGTCCTTTTTTGTGTCTCAGTCTGAAAGGCACCAGCACTCAAGGCTGGGTAATTGGTTTGCTGTATAAGGAGGGGCAGCTTTTGAGAAAGTGGCAGCAATCTCATGGCCCTTCTGGCCCTGGGACCAGTGGCTGCTGCAGCATCAGACGAGGCCTCAGAGGAGGCTGATCACGGCACACTGGCAGAGTTCCCCGCTGAGGGTAGTTTGGGCAGAGTCTTTCTCACAGCTTTATGGTCCCTTCCCAAGTGTGCATAGTGCCTGCACAACACTGAACCTTCTGGAGGGTTCACTGAGGTTTGTTTGAAGTGCTCTGGGATATGTCCATAGGAACAAGTTCTTGCAAGCTGTACAGTCAGGACGGATCAGTAAAGGCAGCACTTCCTAACCACAGAATCACAGAATGAGTCATCCTAACTTGCTGATGAGATACCAGAGTTAAACAGGATTTTACCATATAAAAAATGGTCAGATGAGCCTTTGAGTTACCACTGACATATTTTTGGTTGTTGTTTCCAGGGCGGTTCGTTCGAAGGTTAAGCAGTCCCAGTCCATGGAAATGGGTTTACTGAAAACATCTGAACGAGATCATGAGTCAGAAGAAGAAATTTAGCATGTCTTGACCAGTTTGCCCACTCCAACTATTAGGCTAATTGATACCTCATTTCTACATTTTTTTGCCATCTTATTCATTTTTTGACTATGACTTGCTTTGCAAATATCAATCCCCTATGATGTCTACATCTACACAGTTGTTTTTTGGTTTTTTTTTTGTGAAAGGTAAGCTTGATATTGATTCATGGTGGTTGCACTAGTACATTGCTTTTCATATGCTTCACAGAAAATCAGACTAGTATTAGACAGACTTGATGTGGATGAGGTGGCACAATGAAGTCTGTATGTTTTCCTTATTAAAAGCTAAGCGAAATGTTTTTCAGCTGCTGCTGAACATGAAGTTTCCATAATCAGGGTGTCTAAATATGTGTGTTGGTTGCCTTGCAAGTACCTGTGGATAAATAACTGTGCAGACCTGGATAACAGTAGAACAAGATATAGAAACCACAGTCTTGCAGCTGTTCTGTGTAACAGTTTTGTGTCTCTGCCTGTGGCTTTACGTTAAACAGGAAGAACTTCTCACAGTGAACTGTAGTTCACTGAAGAGTGTTCCCCCCCAGAGACACCACCACACCTGGCAGGAGGACCAAAGACGTGTATGGTGATCAAAACTCAGTGTGGTTGTTTGTGCTTGTGCCTACACAGTCCTGTCTCTTTGCTATTCTTTGACTTTTCAAGGCAGTGGAAGTGACCCTGCCTTCCCTTGGTGCCTGGAACAATTTATTTTCCAAAAAGGCTGAGGGGTGTCCAGTCAGGCAGCACCTAACTGCAAAACCAGTTTCTTTCCCCAAGCTATCTCCTTTCCTTAGGTGGAATTTGGTGGATTTCTGCAGGATTCAGAGCAGACATGTGACCCACCACCTGAGTCAGGAGTGGGTAATTCTGCTCTGTGGGCAGGATGAAATGGTTTTACATCCTTACCCTGTATCATCCCTTCAGTCACCAGGCAGCCTGCACAGTGCTGCACAGTGAGCTGTGGGAGGGCAGATGTTGCCTTCTTAGTAGCTCCATACCCAGCTACCAACACCAGTGAGGGAATTAAAAAATAACACCACTTTTAATTGCATTTATTTTCTCCATGCAAACTAATCTAGTGAAAAGCATAGTGTTCATGGCTAATGGCAGCAAAATGATTGCTTAAAAAAGCTAGCTGATAAAATAGTTTGTATCTCAAAGGGATCCCAAGACCCAAAAAATCCTTACAGGCTTTTCCTCAAACTACTTTACCTTCAGTACAACATAAATATTTACTTCACTTTTAAGATCTACCTTTTATCTCCCTGTTTTCAAGGAGCACCTTTCCAAGCTGCACATGCTGCTAATGCTGTATTTTAGTCTGTCAGTTTTGTCAGTGCCTTTCTAAAATCAGTGGTGTTGTTTATTCTAAAGGAGATCATCAGAAACTACTTTGCTTCTCACAGGCAGGAGCAATGCAAATTTCTTCACTGCTTTTCTTGATAAATACTTTTAGTACCATGTAAATATTAAGGTGCTGTATCTCTAAAGCAAGGAGATAACCTAAGCAGGATGAAAAGCACAATGAACTTCCTGAGCTTTTGTGTGTCTTGTTAGAAGACTTCAGTTGTTAATTTTTAAAATAATTTTAGGTGTTTGCCAAGTATTGTGAAGTAACACCTGTAACCAGGTGCCAGATTCTCCAGATGAATCTTCTTTGGAAAGAAGAGTAGTTGGCTCGCAGACCTTTCTACATTTACAAACGTCAAGGAGGAAATGGCACATTGCTAGCCAAAGATCACTGCTTTTCTTAGCAATTGTTGGCCTTTTTCCAATGCCTTTCTCTGAAGGCTCTTGGAGATTTTGGCAGACTTCAGTAAAGCCTGTCACAAACCTTAGTAAAGCCCAGAACATTCTTGTAAGATAGGTATCGGTATGGTATATTTGTAGCTCTGTGTCTCAGCTTTAAAGTGGTCTTACTACAAACTCTGAAATAATTTTATTTACTCCACTCTGCAAATCTAAGACGGGAGTTTGATTACTGTGGCTCCATTAAAATCAGATTTTGTGTAGAAAGAAGATCCAGGGCTTCCCTGAGGAGCTTGCCTGTTAATTGCAGCAGGGATACATTTGCCAAATGTGTCCCTGTTAGGATCTTACCTTCATTGCACCACATCACTGTTGTCTCTAAATTGTGGGGATTGTTTTTTAAAGGTCCTTTTTCCTGTTAGAATGGTTGAGCTACAAAGCTTCTGTAGTCTGGGCAGAGAAGATGATGGTTGTGCATCAAAGAGAACTTGGGGTTTATTACAAAATTCTGTCACAATAATAAAATAAATTGATGAAGTGAACCTCACAGGCGAGCTGTGCACAGGGAAGGTGCTTAGCAAAATCTCCTTTTGAAAACAATTCCCTGCTCTTACAGAAGCAAAAAGTGACAGTACTTGAGCTCATTGGACAGAGAGTGGCTGCCTGATACTGTTCCTCCAGTGGGGAGGAGCTGGGGACTCTGGCTCTGTCCTTATCCAGCAGTGGCTGTAGAGCTGGGTCTTTTTGGGGAAAAACTGAGCAGGATTTGGCATGCTGAGAGGTATCACCTGCACCTCCCTCTGCATCCCTGCTGTGAATCTCCTGTAAATGACCACAGAACTGGATGAATAAGCCCAACACATCTGCTGGTTTCGGTGCAAGCACGCTTGGCAAAGACACCTCTAAAGAAGCCCGAACTGGAGGCTGATGCAGTCTGACACAGAACTGTAGGGCAGGCTTTCTGCAAAAAGCTCTCTCCTCACATCAGAAAATGTGGCATTGCATTATCAAGCTTGGAGAAATGCAAGGAAAAACAGATCCTGAAGTCTCAAAGAAAGTAGTTTTTGGAATTTAATTTTTAATACTTACAGCACATGGAAAGTGAGTGTCATAGCAGGGGTTTGTGTCTGACAAGTGTGTGGTGCCACAAAGGAAAGGAACACCCTATTTCAGAGTGAGATTTTGCTACATGGAATGCCTGACCCATTCTCCTGTGTTCTAAAGAGAAGCCTAGAAACAGTAGGGCATCTATGACAACGAAAAAGGTACAGCCTTCATAATTTCACAAGCAGCAGGTATTGCCTGAGTTGAATGAGGGGAGGGAAGTCCAACAAGTTTACAAACACCACTCAGAAAAGGGAAGCTGCTCTCAAGAAGATTTAAATTATTTTTAAATATTGGTGCCTTTGAAAAACTATATGTTAGTTTTTACTAGACAAAATACACCTGTAATTTTATTTAAATAAAATTGATTTATTAATGTAAGACGTCTGTCATGTTTTCAGGGGAAAAAATATAACCATTTATGGGACAGGATGGGGTGGGATAAACAGGTTACTCTCATAACACATCCAGACATTTGAACAAGTTGCACTTTAATTCAAGAAAGGTCAGTACTACCTTGTCATCAGAAACTGTGATGTGTGTTCTATTTAAATTACTTAAAGGTATTATTTAAATTATTTTTTTCCTTTGTAACTAAACATAGCATGAATGAAGAGCAAATATGACAGCAAGGAATTTGTATCCTCCAGGTTCACTCATCCTTAAAACTTAGGGACTAAAACACTTCAGTGGATCAAGTACCTTAATCAGGTACTCTTCCCCAAAATGTTTCAGTTCCTCCAAACAGCAGTTGCGGTAGGAGTTGCTGGTACACAAGTTGGTGGAAGAAAACAGAACAGTTTTTTATCCAAAAAGATCTCCAGTGTGTGCAGTAGTGGAAGGGAGCCTGACTCCCAAGAACTAAGTAACAAAGAGCACATCTGTTAAAAGGGAGAAAGGCAACTAGAAAGCTGCCAGAAAATTTGTCCTTAAAATCTATTCTAGGTACAATATATGCTTGCTCAAAATAGTTGTCAAATAAGGAATAACTTGTCCTCAGATGACTTTTTTTGAACATTAATTTCTACCTCTTTGCTAGGTAACTGTTGCAGTTCATGGATCTCTATATTTGATAGTTTCTTAGAATGAAAATACATATGGAGAAGTAGATGAAAACCATAATTATAAATACTACAGCAATACTAAGTAATTTAGTTTAGAAAGGAAGCTCTCACCTATAGACTTCTGCCGTTTACTGACAAAACACTCTGCCAGAGATGGCAGTTCAGAGGTCAATGAAAGGGTGCAATAAAGGCCTGAAATTGGAGCAGAAATGGTTTTGCCTGTATGCTGTGGTTAGGAGCCACTGCCTCCCTGAGGAGGAGAAGGAAGAAATGGAAAACAGGCTGCAGATCCATACAGCTGAACAGCAATTAAGCAACAAGAAATCACTCCCAGCACTCTGAAGAGCATGGCAGGGGCAGCTGTGTTCATGGTACACAGCATTCCAGCCTCCTGCCTCCGGTGTAATTTACCAGGGGCAAGGTTCTCAGACACATGGTGGGATTTTTATGGCTCCTGTGCCGCAGGAAACAGCAATGCCAATCTTCCAGTAGGAGGGAAAGCTTGCACTGCTTTGCTGGAATTTTACTGGTTTGTGACTCTGACTCAGATGCAGTTGACACATTAAAAAAAGTCAAAGATGGTGTTTACTGCTGGCACCATGCTTTGTGCACACTTGAAAACAAAAAAGAAAGGAAATAAGAAACATCTGGCTCTAATTAAGGCTTAAAAGAAATGAAGGAAAGCAGAAGAAACATATCCTGTCACTCAAGAGTGATTTTATCTCCCTGCAGCTGCATCACACATACGAATTTGCAAGTGTTAAGGTTCCCTTTCAGTTTGTTATTATATCATATAAACATGGTTTAATATTTTCATAAATAAAAGTATACTATCTTTTAAGAGGTGTTCATTCATTTGTGTTGGTTTTGCCATCTGGTGCGTTAAGTATTTTTTTTTCTCTGTATTTTATATAAAGTGTTCATATGAAGTTAGAAATTCACAGTTTTGCTCACAATCCTACTGCAATTTCCCAGTGGACAAACTGTCTCCCATTTGCAAAGCTGGGCTTGTAACCCAAAGTTTTGGACTCTTAGTATTCCATATATCTAAACTCAACATTCTAGTCAAAGATATCCATGATGATGTTAGCCATGTGAAGGGAAGAAGCAAGGATGCTCTTTCCCTTGAATAGGAAGGGCAGTGTAAGTAAGCATGAGAATGAATTTCTTTCCTATTTTGTCATTTAAAAATACCTGTAATC